ATTTATGAAAATAAGAGCCATTCCCCAGTTGATATATGGTCAAAGGATATAAACAGGCAGTTTTCAGAAGAAGAAATCAAAGCTATCAATAGCCATGTCAGAAAATGCTCTAAATCACCACTGATAAGAGAAATGCTAATTAAAGCAACTCTGAGATACTACCTTACACCTAACAGATTGGCTACAGATTGGCTTATACCTAACAGATGTGGAAAAATTGGGACACTAATGCACTGTTGGTAGAGTCACGAACCAGTTCAACTGTTCTAGAGAATAATTTTAAACTATGCCCAATAGGTTAAAAAACTGTTCATACCCTTCATATTCTTTGACCTAGCAATACCACTACTAGTTCTATATTGCAAAGAGATCAAAGAAAAGGGGAAAGGACCTACGTACATAAAAACATTTATTGCAGCTTTCTTTGTGGTGGCAAAGAATTGTAAATAGAGGGAATGCTCATCAATTGGAGAATGGATGAACAAGTTGTTGCATATGATTTTGATGGAATACTACAGTGTTAGAAGAAGTGATGAGCAGCATGGTTTCAGAAAAACCTGGGAAGACTCACATGAACATGCAAATTGAAGTGAACAGAACCAGGAGAACATCATACATAATAACAGCAATACTGGAAAGATGATCAACTGTGAAAGACTTCTGATGAAGATAATGATCCAAGACAATTCCAAAGGACCCAGGATAAAAAATGCTATTCATTTCCAGAAGGAGAACTGATGAACTTTGAATGCAGACTGAAGCATACTTTTTAAAAGCTTTATTCTTATTGTTTTATTTTGTTTGTGTTTTCTTTTACAACATTGCTAATATGGAAATATATTTTGCATGACCTCTTATGAATAACTGAAATCAAAGTGCTTGCCTTCTCAAGAAGAGGGGAGGAACAGGAGGGAGGGAATCTGGAATTCAAAAGTATAAAAAATGATTGTTAAAAATTTTTACATGTAATTAGGAAATATTTAATGAAGTAAACAAATATTTTTTAGAAAAGAAATTTATTGTCTAAATTTTTTTAAATAAAGTAATATAAATGCTGAAAGTGGCAGTGATTGCAAGATCTTGCTGTATTTATCAGGTTTTGATTTTATTTTTTTAAATGTAGTTCAGGCCAATTTTACCTTATTTTATTTCACTTTTTCTTTTTTGAGACTCACCCAGGCTGAAGTACAATGGCCACTCATAGTACTAATCCTACTATTGATCAGCATGGAAGCTTTGACCTGCTCTGTTTCCAACCTGGGTAATTTAACATCTTTTTAGGCTGCCTGATAACCATCCAATCCCAGGGGCTCACAATAGTACTGCTGCACTTGGTTCAGACACCTGACTGATTGGCTTAGCCTACAGCAATTCAGAACTACCAAGCTCCAGGGATCTAGCAGCCTTAGCCTCCCTGAGAGCAGTGATTATAGATGTTCAGCATTACATTAGGCCAAAAGCCAGCTGTCATGACAAGAAATCTGTCATGCAAATATTAGGATCAAGTAAGATTCCTTGATAAATGTGATCATGCGTAATTTTTTTCAGTGACTAATTATTCTTGATAAGCAAGGACAAGGAGATAGGTGCTTTCCAGAGGCATCTACCACTTTCCCTGAGAATTCCTCCTGTTAAGGGTCCTGCTTCCCCATGACTTACAGATTCAAGACAAAGCTGTAAGGGACTTCAGAAGCTATCCAGCACAACCCCCTCATTTTACTAAAGTCACACAGATAACAACAATCAGGATACTTTATATAAGTAGAGCTTTTTCCACTCTACCATGCTATGTCTAACTCTTGTGTAGGGTATAAAATGATAAAGGATTCCCTATTGATGACGAGGTATTCCAAAACTCCTGTTGGGAAGGATGTTGTATTGATGACATCAAATCCCAGGATGGCCATGTCTTGAGAGTGAGGGGTTGCCAGTTGAGATCCTTAATGAAATCTAGGGTCATTCAAAAGAGATCATCCTAACAATCCAAAGGGTAAATGGATGAAAAGGTACTGTCTTGGCTACGACATAAAAATAGGTTCCATACGTATATCTGGGATATCCTCTGCAGATGGACAATTAAGTTGAGCCTAGAACTGAACAGCAGAAAGAAAGTTACAAGGGACTTCAGAAGTCATCCTATGGGTCTGTTAGACTCCTCTTGGATTCCTACTTCTTCCTGGCCCAGTTCAACCTAAATGCTATCTACTCCCATTCATTAGCTCCTCCTAGGTCTACTGGGTCTTCCTTCTTCCCTTCTCAATTGTTATGTCTCCTGTCCATCGTCCTGGGTCCTCAGATATCTCCCCTGTAAAATGAGAGAGTGATGGCCTCAAAGTTGCCTTATACCTTAGAGAGGCCTTTTCCACCTTGGCTGAAGATGGAGGGAGGCTCCCACTGGGCATGGTGTGTGCCCCAGGAAGACTCATGGAAACCCACGAAAAAGTATTTGCCATACGTGCTAATAAAAATTGGATCGCATTTGGGAAATTACACAATATTTTTAATAAATTTGTGCTGTGACCTGTCATAGAAATTCGTCTTTTCAAACCATTTTGAATATTCTCTGGGTGACGCCATATGGCTGTGAATTCTGAAGTTTCATGATCAAATGAGCAATCAAAGTTGTATGTCAGTCAAAGGGCAATGAAGAGATGACTGGTGAGTACGAGCTGACTAATCAGCTCCCGAGAATGTTTGCCCACAAGGAGTGATGTATGGGATATCACTGAAGAAACATGATTGGAAAAGGATGACGATTAGTCATAGGTGAGTGTATGGGAGAGCAGAAGGACAATCAGAATGCGGTACTGATAAATAGGAAATGTAAGAGATCTAGAAAGAAGCTTCCTGCAATTTGGTTGCTCTATGAAGCAAGTCTGAAACAGACAATAGTCTCAAAGGATGAAAAGACAGAGATGGACTGCATTCTCCACAAGTGGAGGGAGTCTCCATGTTAATGGATTCACTGGGGCATCTGGGAGAGGCAACATGGCATACTAGATGGAGAGCTGGCCTCAGTCAAGAAGGCCTGAGTTCTGGTCTCATCCCAGACACAAACTTGTGACCTAGACAAATTACCTCATGTCTCAGCACCCCAGGAAATTCTCTAGCACTTTAAGTTACAGAATGGTGATGGATTTGCTTTGGTAGACTGAGTTTCCTTATAAGGAGTTCTTTATAACAAGGTCTAGGTCTTTTCTCCCTTAATGTGTTTATTTATGAATACTGCATCCCTCCAGGAGAATATAAGCTATGTGAGGGTAGGGACTCTCATGTTTTCATCATTGTATCGCTGGAGTGCTTGCCCAAGAGTAGACCCTTAATTAATGTTTATTGCACTGTATCATGTTGTATTCTCATTAAAGGCATATCTTTAAAGAGTGGTGTATTAATGTTTTCAAAATAAATTTCTACTTTCTAGATTCAAAGGATAGCCAAAACATTATGTACCTCCCAGACCAATAACTTAGGAAAAGAAAAGATTCTTATTGTTATTGAAGAGTTTTGTCAATCTGAAAATTCTGAAAGGAAAGGCACATTTAAGATTTAAATTTCATAAAGCCTATGATAATTTTTTTAAAATGGTTTCAAAGTATAGTCAACTGTTGATCATGTACACTGTGACTTGCACTCAAAAACAGGCTTTCAAGTTCTTAATGACACTGCTTTTAGTGCCCCTTAATGAAGCTTGTGTTTACATGACACCAAAACATCCAGGAGATTCATTCAATAAAGTAGGAAAAAAAATCAATCAATTCAGGGGGAAAAGTCACCAAAAAGGCTGTGGGCAAAACTGAATGACTGACCCAAATCTTCCCTCTTCAACTATTGTTTTGACATTGTACAGACAAAGCCTTAGTCACTAGAATTTACAGGAATTTTAAGAGAAAAGTCTTAACCTTTAAGAGAAAGCCTTTTAGACCAAACAGTTATTTCCTTCTAATCTAGAGATGTCATGAACCAGAGAAATGTATAGTACTATGAAAATCACAAGGAGAAAAGGTTTTGAACTCAAAGTGTCCACAAGATGTTGATGTTTGAGCCTCAAGCCATGTCATATTTGAAGGGTGTTAAGTGTTTGATCTGTAAAAGATTGACGCTTTTCAAATCAGGGCCTGGTAAGTGACATTCCATCTTCTAGCTCCCGTTCAGGGCTTTCGTACAATCTACCATATTTCGTTTGGGTCCAAGGAAGCGGAGATGAGTGCTCCTGCCCTGATGCATGTAGCTTCATTCCTAGGTTCTTTCAGAGAGAAATCACTGAGGGATGGGAAGGGGGCACTGGAAATTCAAAGGGACAGGAAGCAGAATGTGATGCCCAGGTTTACTTTCCCCACCCCAAAAACCTCTCCAGTGGAAAACAAGTTAACTTTGTGGGGATTAGGGATAGGAGAAAAGGAGAGGAGGATAGAGGAGATAAGATTTGGTGAATAAGCAGAAGAAAACTTAAATGCCAATTCAACATCCGGCAATAGTAATTAACCTTTGTGAGCATTTTCTGAGTCTGAAGCTGGAATGATGTAAGCTCAGGATGATCACTTCACTCCGAGGACAAGAACTGAGGAATGTATGACACATTGGGAGAACATTCCAATGAAAATGAAAGGGACAGAGCATTGGCAGAAGCTCCCTTAATGATTCAGAAGTCCTTTGGATGGTAAGTAGTGATGACTGTAAAACTGTTAAATTTTTATCGACATTTGAAAAGTACAACAGATACTCTGTTGAGGGCTGTTACATAAATATAAAACACTGCTTTTTTAGGGTATAAGTTTAATCCCACATATTAGATGCCAGTAATAGGGGCAAGTTAACATCAATCTTAAGAAACCTATTCACTTTCTGATGAAAGGAGATTGATATGCTACATCTGTCCTTACACAATCATTTTCTGGCTACATATATTTATGTACAGTTAAGCTTTCAGCTTTAATAATAGTTAACCATCCTTTATAACCACTCTCAGATTTCCACATAAAGATAAAGAAAGGGAAAATTACCTGGTGGTATTTCTTGAGGATGTTATGCATTTCAGCCACATCTTCACTTGTGATTGTTTTGATGATGTATCTTTTGTCATAGGAAGTATGGAATCGCGCTCCACTGCGTGCCTGCGAGTCGTTCGGAAGTGGTGCGCTCCTTGTCAAGGAATTCTGTTCACAGCAGCAAAGAAGGAAAACTGGGTCAGATCTGCAGGTTCTATCGAGATTTCCATTTGTAGTCAAAACAATTGTGATTGATGCTTTCATCTCTCAGTATTGCCTTACATACTGATCACTGAGCAATGGCTTAGTGCTTATCCCCGATAGCCTGATTCCGTGGTCTAGACAGCAGATGGAGATCTCCAAAGCAGATACTTTTTTTTTAAACCACTGGCTCTGTTACAACTTGGAAGAAGCCACTTGTCTGCTCTGATTCTGTTTCACTACTTGCAAAATGGAGGTTAATGCTAAGTGGGATATTTTTTTCAGAGGGAGATGACAACATAAAACTGAATTGTATTTTGAAAATGAAATATCTTAACTGTTTTCAAATAATAATGATGATGATGATGTTATTTTCACCTTGCTACAAAATACGATGATGACAAGGTCACAGATAAAGAACTGGAACACACCCTAGAGGTCATCAGGCCCAACCACTTTCATGGCTGTTCAGGAGTTTGCAATGTAACAGTACTACTCCAGAAGCTAAGACAGAGAGACACCATAAAAAGTAGAATTATTGGAATTCAGGAGTTCGAAATTCTAGTTCCGATTGCAAATTATTTGTTAGAGTGCTTTAGCATTTTTTTTCTGTGAAAAATTCTGTCCAAAGGAATATTCATTATCAACACACATTCCAGCTCACTGATGGATGACTGATGTCCCAGTAGCTAGCACAGCATCTGGCATGTAGTAGGGGCTTAATAAATGCTTGCAGAATGATCAGTAGAATGGGTAAGCCCCATGCTTTAGTGGTCACAGATTCGAGATCATCAGCTCTAGTCCCCTCAATTTACAGAGGAGAAACTTGAGGTTCTGGGAGTCTACAGGACTTAAAGGTTCATAGATCTGGGCCAGAAGAGTCCTTAAGGTCATCAGTTTTTGGATGAGGATACTGAGTCAGAGAGGTGTTAAATTACCTTTTTTTTTTGTGAGGCAACTGGGGTTAAGTGACTTGCCCAGGGTCACACAGCTAGTAAATGTTATATGTCTGAGGCTGGATTGAACTTGGGTCTTCCTGATTCCAGGGCCCCATAGTGTTAAATTACTTGTCCACGGTCAACAGCTAGTAAATATCTGGGATAGGATTTGAACTTGGGTCTTCCTGACCCCAAGTCCAGCATATTTACTATGCAGCTCTCCACAAGGTTCCAAGGCAGTAATTAGTTGATAAGCATTTCATTAGTGCCTATGAGGTATTAGGCACTGTGCTAGGTGCTGAAAATACAAGAGAAAATGAAATAGTTCCTGGCTTCAAGGTGCTAATGCCAGAGCCAGGATTTGATGACAATGGGAATGGGAGAAAAACACTGTAGCGAACAGAGGGAGGGGCAGCTAGGTGGTGCAGTAGATACAGCACTGGACCTGGAATCAGTAGAACCTGAGTTTAAATCCGGCCTCAGACACATAACACTCACTAGCTGTGTGACCCTGGGCAAGTCATTTAACCCCGATTGTCTAGCCCTCCAAAAAAAATTATATGATATACTTGGCTTAGATTCTAAAAATCTAGACACTGCTCAGATTCGTAAAATCTAGCCACATGCTCACATAGGGGCAGCTAGGTGGCGCAGTAGATAGAGCACCAGCCCTGGAGTCAGGAGGACCTGAGTTCAAGTCTGGTCTCAGACCAGACAACTGACACTTACTAGCTGTGTGACCCTGGGCAAGTCACTTAACCCCACTGCCTAGTCAAAAAAAAAAAAAGGGGATCACTTTGTGTCAGAAGCCCTGGGTTTGAATTCTGATTCTTTGATTTCTCAGCTCCGTGACCTTGAGCAAATCAAAAACAGGTATCCTAATTGTACTAGCGTCCTGGTTGGATGCTGTGAGGAAAGTACTTTGTAAACTTGAAAGTGCTGTAAAAAGTGAGCTGTTATACATGTGAATTGTTACAATTAACAAGAGAAAAGAGCAAGAAGGGATGAGAAGAGTGGCACAATAGATACAAGGGGAAGGGTGGAACATGGAAGGCTTGAGAAAGCTTGAGAATGGGACACTGGCCACAGGTCAGAAAGGATCTCAAGGGCTTCACAAGAAGCAAGGACAGGCAGCATCTAGAAGAAACTGCAATACACATGAACCTGAACTGTCTGTCCTCTGCTGTGGTAGTCAGGCAATTGGTTGCTTTCAAACACAAGTTAGGTTGACTGAATGTCACAAAGATGGGCTGATAATACATTCTTCAAATCTACATAGTTTGTATTCTGAAGTTCCCTCACATTGCAACAGAGTTTAACTGTGCACTGACCTGCCTGTGTATGCTGAACTGTGGTAGTCCAAATGGCAGACTCTGTACCACAAGAGAGGTAAAAATGATGGAGGAAATAATGACATGGCCAAGGGATAAGACGGACCTTGTCCCTTGACTCCCCTAGTGGCTGCACTGAGAACCATCCTGGAACACAATGGAAGCCCAGGGTTTCCCTTAGCCCCACTTTGAGGCAAAACCCAACTCACAATCCTTCTTAACTCCATGAAGACAGAATTTAAAGGCTCATCGACCTTGAGCCAGAAGGGACTTCAGAGGTACTTAAATCCAACCTCATTTTATAGATGAAGAATCTAAGGTGAACCTAATGATTCTCCAGATAGATTACACAGGTAGGAAGTATCTGACATGGGTTTGAATTCAAGTCCTCTGAATCAAGAACTAGCGTTCCTTCCACTTTACCATTACCTCCCACCCCCACCCCCACCCCCGAGCGTATGACTTCCTATCTCACCTCCGAGTAGCCTGAGATCTACGTGAAACCCAACCCGTGCCATCTTATTTTGGCCATCAAGTCTGGCTCCATAGTCTCTTGGCATTTAGGGTTAGGTGTGTGTACTTTAAGTTGGTACTCTAGAGCAGAGGTATCAAACACTACTCCAGTGAGCTATGAACTACATTAAAACGTGGCTGGAAAATATTTAACAAAATAAATAAAATACAATAGAATACAGATGTTAATATGTGATTTTATAAGTCAGTATATGGCCTACACTTTGTGGCCCCCTTTCTATTTGGGATAGACACTACTGCTATGGAGTACTTGCATTCTGTTTGTCCTATATGCTCCCTATGCCCCTCAAGGACAGGCACTCTTTCAACTTTTTTTTCTATTGCTCTACCACACCTCATATTGCATAACTATTACATGGGCCAAATGGGCACTTGGATTAAACGTTGACTTACGAAGCCTTAAAGAACAACGTATACGGGGTAGCTAGGTGGTGCAGTGGATAGAGATCCAGCCTTGGAGTCAGGAGGACCTGAGTTCAAATCCAGCCTCAGACACTTGACACTTACTGGCTGTGTGACCCTGGGCAAGTCACTTAACCCCAATTGCCTCATCAAAAAGGCAAAAAAAAAAAAGAAAAGAAAAAAAAGAATCATGTACATTCTGGATAAATGAACAAGGACCTCTTTAGCAAAGCAGCCCTCCCTACTAGGAAGTAAGAATTCTTTTATAATAAATCTTTTAAATAAAAGATTATTTTTCCTTTCTATTACATGTCAGTTTCTATCCTTACAATTATTCTCTTTCCTTCCTTGATATCATCAACAAGATACAAGCTTGTCATGTATGATAAAAGGGTAGTGGTTTGGTTCTGAGAGGCTTGGCATTACTAATGAATTACTACATGCTCCTATTTTCTTTCAGACAAATATTGCAGCAGTAATGGCATTATAATTCAATTGTGAGATACAGACTCCTGATTTCAACACAGTAACACATACCTGTTAAATTCTGAGAAATAATATTGTCTGTTACTTTTCTTTATCATATTACAAAACTTGAGAAAGAGGGGAAAAATCACTGTAATTACCACTGACATTAGAATTATTTTCGAGGAAGATGAAATTCATCAACTTGAGTAGGTAGTCTATAGTTCAATATGAAAAAAAAGGTGATATTAATGGAGGATTAATTTTCAATTATATTGATTATCTCAGTAAATCTCCCTCATTCTGCTTCCGGTGTATACAAAATGAAAGAAGACAAAGTATACATTTTAATTCATTTACTGGGATTAAAAAGCTGGCAAAATTATTGGCCTTTGTTAAAGGAACCATGAAAATACTTTTTCTTATTTTTGCAAATATTAATCTGCTGAAGAAATCTAAGAATTGTAAAATGAAAACTAAAACCTTAAACAATCAAATTATAAAAACTATATGAATTAGAATAAAAATTTGCAAACACGACTATCTAAAATACTAACTTCTTGGAAAAAATATAGAATAACTGAGTTTCATCAGCTCCACTTATATCGAAGCTTGCTTTTCTTAACACAAAGGTACTGAGTTATTATTTCTCAGCTATAATACAGCACAAAATAAATAATTCATTATGCAATACATAATTTATACCACATACTGAAAGTTATAACATAATGTTTTTCAATATTATGGATCTGTGACAGAAAAAACCCAAAAACTTTGGATAGTAAAATGTTCATTGCTATGGCACTGATCAAACTAAGCTATTTCCCCACTTGGAAATTTTTTGGTCCCAACTGGAAATCCATTCCCTTTCTAATTAGTTATGAGGCAGTGAAGGAAAGCAAAGCTGTGCTCTGAAGATTCTAAAATGTCTGCTTTTGCTCTAGTCTCTTCTTCAGAGAAGGAATAATGACTGGCATCATCCAAAATCCACATATTCCCTATCACTGGCTATCTGAGTATCAGTCTACTACATTATAACAACAAATGTACACTGACGTTGTTATGCTCAATGCTGACTGACAGCTCAGTTAGGCAGTGATATTGATGGAAAAGAGAGGGTGTGGCCTAATACCACGGTATTCTCTTTTACAGTCAAAAGTAAGCAGTGGACTAGACAAAGGCTGTTCTCTTTTTGGGTAGTTCACAGTAAATCAGTACAAACTATCCCTAAATCCTTGGTGTTACACATCCTATCCATCTATCTTTTTAAATACTACAAATATAAAGTTAGTATCCT